TTTTTATTGTGGTGAAAGCAAAACTAAGAGGGAATTCATGACGATGTTTACGTGAAGCGTAGTTTGGATCTTCTTTTGCTGCTGGTTCGGTCAATATTGTTTGGAGAGAGATCAAACCTGCAGCTTCTGAATCAGCGCAAAAAGGACGTAAACACAAAGCTCAACTCGCCGAAACATCAGAATCAGCGAGCTGTCGGCTTTCAGCCCCGACCGTGCCGTCCGGTGAGAAAGGTGATATCTCACTGATTCTGATCCGTCGGCGCTTTGTGTCTGTTCTCATTTACTGTTTCAGCTGTTTGGTGGTTGTTGAAATTTTGTGAGGTTTAATTCGAGATTCTGGCGTTTTGAGCAAAATAAATTTATATTTAAAAATCGATTCAGGATTTTAATGAATCGATGTCACGTTATCCAAGCTAGAATCGATTTTAATCGAATAATCAAAACCCACCCCCAGTGGAAGCCTTTTCCAGATTAAAAGTGAAATAATCTAGAATATTGTGTCAATTAAATTAGGTTAATATTTCAAAACATAACAAAAACTTTTTTACAAGCCAGTAAAAATATACATGGGCCATTAGGTCATAAGAACTCTTAGTTTGGGCGAATCCTCACCACCTCTAATTTAAACTACATATGTGCTTCAATCTCATCTCCTTAAAGCTTGGGTTCTCTAAGTGTGGCCTGCGGGTCGTTAGTGGCCCGTTCAAACATTGTTTTTGGCCTGTGGACTTTGAGAACTCCTGTCAGCAGAGGGTGAGAGTCTGCTGAGCTGGTAAAGGCGTGTGGCGGTCTCCGGTTAGCACTGCATCAGAGTGTTTTATGAGGAATCATTAATCTTGGTGGTCCAAAGATCCAAAGGCCGTTTGCTGAGAACACGTGTGTTGCAAGAACTCTGAGCACTAAAGCAGCTCATGCTAACCTCTGACCCGTGTTTGTCCCTCAGTGACCTGATGGGAGCCCTGAGCCACACATTGAACCTTACTGAACAGACTCTGGTCCAGGTGGAGGACTTGGACTCTGCTGCAGGAACTAAACTGGACTCTGTGATGTCAGAGGCACAGAAACTGGAGGGGACAGTCCAGGAGCTCCTGGACCAGGTCGAGTTCATCAAGAACTCCGACATCAGAGGTAAAGGGTTAAAGGTCACAGGGGAAATAGGTGGGCCAAGGAGTACTAAAATAGGTAGTACAGGGATTTCAGAATTTAAATAAAGTTGCCTTCAGCTGATTTTGACTTCCTGTGTGTTGCTAGGTGCAACAGACAGCATCACTAAGTACTTCCTGCAGTCCCAGGAGGCCGAGGCCCGAGCTAACGCCTCCACCATCGACAGCGGCAGCCCGGTTGAAGCCTCTGCTGCTCTACGGCAGCTCACAGAAGACAAACTGAACCAGACCCGAGAGAAGTTCATGAAGAGACAGTCTGAGCATGCTCAAAAACTGGATGACCTGGCAGGAGAACTGCAGAGTCTGGACCTAGCAGAGCTCAGCAGCAAGGTGGGAGAGCGGCACAGGTCAGGTTGACAGAGTTCAGTGTATTACAAACACAAACGTTTGTTAGTATAAACGCATGAACACTGAGTGTCGTCTGTCCTGCTTCTGCCAGACCTGTGGCAGTCCATCTTTGGGTCAAGACGCATGCGGGTCTTCTTCCTGCGGTGGTCTGGGCTGCGTGAATCCTGAGGGCGGGGCCAGGTGTGGAGGAGAAGGCTGTAGTGGTGCGGTAGCAACGGCCAACAGTGTCCTGAGGAAGGCTCGGGACTCTGAACAGGAAATCATCCACGCCATGGAGGAAGTGGAGAAGCTGTCTAAGATGGTGGGTGTGAGCCCTGCTGCTCCGTGTTCACTCCAGGTGAACTGTGGTGGGTTTTCTCACCTGAATTTTGTCCTCAGGTGTCAGAAGCAAAGCTAGAGGCGGACAAGGCCAGGCTGAGTGCTCAGAACGTCCTGATGAAGACCAACAGGACCAAACAGAAAGTTGACCAGAGCAACGAGGAGCTGCGCAGCCTCATCAGACACATCAGAGACTTCCTCACCCGTATGTGTCACTTCCTGTTTGGTTCAAATGTCTCCGTAGTTACGGTTACATCAGTTTCCCCCGAGATAATCAGGAGAGATCATTGGAAGGAAGTGAAATTGATTCATTGACATAAAGACTTCAGTTAAGGTATTTAGCGATTAGGTTCTGATGACCCATTGAAGCAGAGTTGACCCCGTAGAGTCTAGACATTGGTGGTGGAGATGAAGATGGAGGCTTGGATGGAGCCTGAGCAACATGGGAGAGGGTTAGGGGGGTGGGCTGCACAAAGGCGCACTGAGACTGAAAGTAGAGTCCAGCTGATTAGACTACAGATGATTGGACTCGACCGGTAACGTTGTATCACTATGAGAAAGTGATCGTAGATTAACCACCAAACACCTGGACAGCAAACAGATGTGTGACTACAGATCTTCCTTATTGAACTATAAGCTTCTTTTTATGAACGTCACGTCTGATGGTGGCCATTATGCTCCAGGGTTAGGGTTAGGGGTTAGGGTTGCTTAATACAACCAAAACTCCCCAACTGATGGAAAAACAAAACAACGTTTGTTCTTGTATTTCTGCAGGTCTCATAGATCCTGTTTAACAAACATGAACTCAGAAGCTCTCTGTCTGTCTGTGCAGCAGCATTAAAGGATCCTAGATCATGTAGTGTACATGAAATCATCAGAAACTAAACCGTCTACTCTTGTGTCTGGGACGCTCTCAGAGGCCACCACGCTCACACATTCGTTCCTTCGTGTCGTCTGCTGCGTACGACACATTAAAGAAACCATAAGAACCTGCGTAGTGTAAGCTAACGAACGCTGAAATTATTTCTGATAACTGGTTTCTGATAACCTGACAAGCTTTCAGACACGGTTGGATAGACTGAGAATAATTTCAGG